GTAATATTAATAGAAGGGTTTGTGATACAAATATTTAAATAGGGACGAATCAAAACGTCAATGTGTAATCATGTGAGCAATCAAGTTGATATGCGGGTCAATAGTGCGATCTCTATCGCTAATATTAAACAAGAGTCTTTTTGCGAGTAGGCCTTAAATATCGTATAATAATATACTATATTTGTGAAAGAAGGGAAGGCTGATCTCACTTGGACATGTGATTAACTAATTTATAATACAAACAAGTTACAAGAAATATTTTTACTAGTATATAAACCAAATCCGGTTTATTATTCATTCATCGCACTTGCTCTATGACACACAAACAATCGACTCATCAGTCGATATCTATTTTAGTGTCTAACGTTTACATTGATTGTCTATTTTTGTAGGAATAATTATTATGCTTCTAGAAACATAATTACGAAAACTACTGCATCATGTGAGTATACGCGTGCATGACTGCTGGTTATACAGTATGCCAAGCGTGTATGTTCAAAAGCAATAGAAGATTCCTATGCATAATCGTGCAAGCCTTTCAATTCTGTATGGAATAAAAAAATTTTTTTTGTTTACGACGTTATAATTAACAGATTTTTGTACGAATACTTCCGTCTATCTATCCCAAGAAAACCCTTTGGTCTTTTTGACAATACCTAATTAAGCAGCTAGTATACATATATACATTGTTTTGGTAATCCGGAAAAAAACTTTGCACGCATGAGTCACATTCCGTTCCGATCACTGTCCTCATTTCCCTGTAATTTTTTTTAATCGTGTACGAAACACAGAACGGAGTGGCGAAAAAATAGAGCAACAGACAATTGAGAAAATTGCACATACGTACATACGTACTCACATCTTTCATTTAATGCTAGCAAAAAGCTTCATTGATAACGTCATAAGCGACTTGTACCACACAGCATTGTTTGTCGGTCAAGACTATTGAGGGCTGGTTTTTTTAAAATGTTGAGTGAGGTACTTTGTAAAGAATAACACCTCGTTTTTTATTGATTTATTTACGTAAAGTTCTTTGTAATAGTCGACATAAATGCTCGGGCTGATATATTCTATAAAGAAACATGATATCTAATTAGGCAGTGTATTGAAATTATTCACACTTGGCATTTGAAATAAAAACAACTCTATGTTTAAAAGCAATCCGTAGCAGTTTAAAAGTGAAAAGAAACAAGAGACGATGGTTTGTAGGAAGTTTTGATTATATATGAAATCATAATATACTTGCTTGCACATGACACAGCTCTGAAACAGTACTACGTAAATAACAACACAACTCTTTGTATAGACTATTACAGGAATCTGAATAAAAGTCAAACACATTTACAGTAAGTAGTCGAGCATGTAAGTAGTACGAATGTATTGTTAGAGTAATATTATTAAAAATGGCTGAAATTTATTAAATCAAATTCTTAAGACAACGTGACCTCCCCATTCCTGAGAACAATAAATATAAAAAGCCCCGCCCGCAACGGTTTGAGCGAAAACATACTAATACGCATACGATTCTGTAAATTTGAATTTATTCACGCTTTACAGACATAATTCCTTGTTTATAAACTCTCGCGCTAGTAATCTTATAACAATGCACAACTTATTTCCGATTGGTGTAACCTCTACAGGAATTACTGCCGCTAATCCTAATTCCACCGGTATCAATATTACTAATGCTATCAATGCCATTACCAATTTTAACACCACCAATTTCAATACCATCACTAATTTTAATACCAACCACGATAATAACAACTACAACAACTGCAACAACTGCAACTACAACTACAATAACTACAACAACTGCAACTACTGCAACTACAACAACTACAACAACTGCAACAACTGCAACAACTGCAACTACAACTATAACTACAACAACACTACCAACGTTGATTTTGCTTACAACGTTGATTCTCTTGCAATTCCTAATCTTTCTGATGCATTTATAAATAAATTTACAGAAGTCCTAACGCATGACGAGTATCTCCTTTTGACCAAACCTCCATATTCTTTAACCGCTTCGCTTGACACTCTTCTCAATCCAAAACCCACAAACTCTCGTAGAAAAAAAAACTGCTACCCACCCAGGCCAAGAAATAGTTGGCTAATTTTTCGGATTGATTATAAAAACAAATTACGCGCTGCTGATCCTGACCAACCACCAACTATAGAGAACGTCTCGAGGCGCGCGAGCAAAGACTGGGCAAATCAATCGGATAAAGTTAAACAATTTTTCACTGTTTTGTCCAAAATTGCAAAGAAATTACACGAGGACAGTTATCCAAACTATATTTACGCACCGAGAAGAAACAATCGTAACGAAAAGTATGTGTTTAGATTGATAAGTGAGGAAGAAATTACGGGATGTAAAAGAGATGAAGAGGAGAGAAATCGAAAGGGTGAGAGAGATGGTGAGAATTGTGTGGCGTATAAGGAGAAAATGGACGAGCGCGTTTATTTTAACCAGTATATTGACTGCCAACAACATAATATCGCCGATGCGCACGGTGAATACGATGCTATTGTGTTGGATGAATATGACAATGACATAAACAACACCAGTGTTCTTATAGGCTCGGATATTACCGATTCCACATGCAATCTGTCTGACAGCTTGAACACTAGCACAGTATCACAAAGCGTTGATACTGCTTGTAGTCCGGCAATTTCCCCTGCGTCTTTTTCTAGTCCGACTCGCTACGATCCGAATCAACTTGCAAACCAGACATATTTTGCATACTGCGGTGATAACGAAATCAGCCCATACATTGGTAGCATGTCGACTCAGCCTTTGAGTCAAACTTGTAATTATCCGTTTTTCGAACCGTTAATCAGTAATCTGACGTTTTAACGTACACAATAGACTTTATTGGTTAGAACCGTGTTCTATAATTAGGAAAGAGTGTGAGAATTTAGAGAGTCCGAGTTGTCTTAATGTCTATCATTACTTATTATAATAATAATAAATAAATATAGCAACAACAAACTGGTTTGTTGTTACATCCATAAGAGAGTTGTAAAAATAGACCCGATTTTCTTTGGAATTTGTATCCTTTTTGCAGCGGTATAATGAACGTCTCAAGTGGCACATAGGGGTTTCTGTTTTGGTCACGGTCATGAAAGTATTCGCCTGTATGGTTTTCGCATGGCATGGCGTACATATTGTATTCCACACCACGCCACACCACACCACACCACGCCACACGAACGAGCATTTGATCTCATCGTCTTACGGGAAAAAAAATTTTCCTCGGGACTGGAGTTCACGTGATTGAGGTCCATGAGATAAGATGTGCTCATCTCAAATTAGCGGTCACCCGGCATCATGTTAAAAATTAGGTTTCCCACAGAAACTTTAAATTTATTGTAAAGTTGATGTTTTACATTTTTTCGCAAGTTTTCTCAAAAACGCTGTTCTCCATAAATTAATTGTTTCAGCAGTGTGCGATGGTCAATTATTATTTTCCTTGTCACCCACCCCTCACTTTACGATAAGGGAGAACGAGAGAGAAAAGAAAAAACTTGAATGAAAATGCAACTACGATGCACCCGTGAAATATAATTGCTAATCAGAGTCGCTTAGACAATTGCGCTGACTAATTAGAAAAACTCTATTAAATGCATGCAAACAACAATTGAAATAATTTGCCTACTTGAGGTGCTAAAGCATATAACGTTTGGTAATTAGGCTGCAGTTTTTCATACACAATGACAAAAGACATTTGAATGAGAAGCACATTTCATTGTGCCGGCTCTGCGACACAAATTCGTATTTTGGTTTGTGTGACGATACAATAAGCTATTTTTATCTTGAAAAAAGGGGTTAAAGCTTATTATAAAGGTTAGATATTCATTATTTTTTTTTCATCTTTGACGATTTTGTATGCAGATTTAATTTCGGTTTTTAATCACTATAAGATTGTTTGATGTGCGATCTTCGGTTTTCAAATTTAAGCATATTACGACGGATTAGACACATGTGGGGGAAAGTGAGAGTCCGTGTGTTCGAGCTAGGCTATTTTCAGGGGGGGTTTTGACCACATTTTGATGTTACGTAATACAATCTATATATAAACTTTGAATGAAAAATTTCAAACGTTAGGAGTATTTGTTTACATCCGTAAGACCCTCGTAATATTTATTGAATTTAGATTCCTTGTATAGTCCCAAAGTGAAAATAATAATGATGATGATGTATACAATTTATACAAGAAACGAAAATGAAAGCGCCTGGCTTTTTTTTTCTTTTCTTTCTACTTATACATATATTTACTACTTATGTGCCCTAAATTGTCCTGTTAATATACTAATTTGTCAAAATCAAATTTAATTTTATATCCAACAAGATTCATAATACAAATTGTCACTATCGATGTAATTGCAGAAAGAATTGACGTTTACGCAATTTTGATTGTCTGCAAGAACATTGCTGTTTTCATTCTGTCCATTCTGTAACTCGTATTGCTGTTGACTCAAATTATTCGGATGTTGCACGTTTTTGCTGTTTTCTCCACAAGCAGCGTTACGTTTCTGACCGGCATTTGTCTTTCGCTTTTTACTAATCTTGTTTGTTTCTGATTTTTTTCGTAT